ACATCCTTGTGCCCTGCTTCCTTGAGAGCAGCTGTTAGTTCCTCATCAGATATGTCCTCTCCAAATGGCCCAATGACTCCAGAACACATTGTCTGGTTCAAAGGAAGACGACACTTCACACTCCATGAGCCAAGTTTATTTACACGTAGAAGTTGATTCAGATCATTAGGGGCATCCTCTTTCACAGTCACCACAAGGAGCTGGCGTCTGGAGTTCTTAGTAAAGTGGCTAATGCCCACTTGACCAAATGGTGATTTAGCCAGAGCTGTGCTAATAGCAATATCATTAGAGAAGAACTTACTCAATGGGCGAGCGCCAGGGCCATCAGGATCTGCAACAGGTTCTATGATAATTACTTTATTGTTAGAGTCAGGATGATTTGGGATTGGCATGGATGCGTGTTGCTGAGATTCAAATTTATCATTGGCATTCAGAAGGTTGTTGTTATAGCTTTCCAGCCTAGGTAGGAAGCCCTCAAATGTATCTGTGTCGACAGTGTCGTTAACATGTAAGTCGTCCATGTCATGTACCTCAACCTCTGGCTCTGCACTAGGTAGGACAGTGTCATTGGGGCTGAGAGGCGGCATTTGAGACCAGGTCGGTATTGCACTTCCAGAGAGATTAGGCTTAGAGAGTGATGCAGATTGAGAGTTGGTCTCGGAGCAGTCAGATGATACTGAAGCAGTATCACCCTGTTCCTTTTTCCTGCGTTTGGGCATTTTATCCGTTTTTTGTGTAATTTGACGGATTCAACTATTAATGCAATGAAAAATTCAACTATCAATGCAATAATCTCAATTAACTATTCGTCGTCAGATGTCGATAAATGGGCAGAAAAACTTACACACGTCCGTTGTCGTCCGTAGCTTCAACCGGAATCCTAGGCGAAGTCTCACGCACTCCCGGACAAGCAGCAAAAGCTGGTGCTCTTATTCTATTGCACCGGAAAAATTATAGTTCGCTTGAATATATTGTCTGTTTGATTTTTATTTTTACGTGCTTATTATAATAAATAAATTCAACTTGTTTACGATTGAGCCTCGTCACGGAACAAAACAAGCAGCATATTTCAACACCTGTGTTATAAGCATAATAATTAAAATTTATTGCTTACAGTTTAAAAAAAATAATAATAATTAAAAAGCAAAATTTGTTCAAATTATAATTTGTTATTTTTTATTATTAATTTATTACGCTTGTATTGAATAAATAAATGAAAAATAAATAAACTAATATAGAAATAAAAAACAGTAGGATGCTTTTAAATTAACTAAACTAAGCTCTGATTTAGCAAAATTGAAGGCCAATAGAATACAAATTTAATTAAGGTTCACCTAAATTTGCCAATGGAAAATAAGGTTTGGTTAATATCCCGGATTTTTAATAAAAAATTGAACGACTATTCAACACATCACAATCTGAATTACTTTCCAATATATCATCGTACATCATCATTTGCCCAGTATAATGATTTATCTATTCGCAAATTGCAAATAAAAAATTATTTCCCCGACATCCTGAAATTTCACTGAAGAAATGTCCGTAGTTATGGTCGACCTCCATAATATGTGGTAGATCTGTAGTGGATGAACCTAATAATATGTAATTTGAAATGGATTTAAATGTAAATTAACAGTTTGAATACCGCCTTAATTGTATTCATGCGCTGGAATTTGAACAGTGTAGATCTTTCTGTTTTGAAGATGTTGATAAATTAACTCCATGTCATGCTCTAATGCTCAACGCTTTTTCACAGGCCTTTCTCCTTTTATCTTGTATTCACGAATACCTAATAAACTATTCAAACTCGTCCACTACCTATTATCCTTCATGTAGGGAAGCGTTACCAAGACCTTCGATTGCACACGTAACTCTAGCGTCAAATCATAAGTAAATCTAGCGTCAAATCACACGTAACTCTAGCGTCAAATCATCGACAACCCTCACTCACTGCGTTATTCCGACCCATCCTCGGTACCTACCGCAGATTTAAGAAATCAATGATGAACACTTTTGATTAAGAAATCAATGGCGAACACTTTTAATTAAGAAATCAATGACGAACACTTTTAATTCCACAGTATTCGTTTTGCAAATAACTAGTCACTCATTTACACATCTCCTGTGTCTGTATTAATGTTATATTGAGCTACAACAACCGTAGCATTTAGCGTGTACAACAACTGAACGAATACAAGTAAGTAGGCCTAACGCTGCGGCTATTCTCATAGGTTGTTCAAGTATCTTTAATGAAATCCAAACGAACTTACTTGACAGCACACAAATTGCAAGACTTCGCTCTTCATTAAACTGATCCATGTTTATTTACTTAAGTTAGGATATCTGAATAATTGTCAATTAAATTTCATTTTTGGAAAGCATAACATTAGTCTTTCGATTCTTAAAAATGTATTCAGAGTGAAACTTGTATAAACTTATTGCTTCATAAGTGAAAAAAAAATTCATTAAGATCTTGTCATGAACAAATTGAAGCGCACGGCGCGCCGTTACGACGATTCGAGTGGCAGCTTAATTACAAATATAAGCGATATGAACAGTTTGTGGGTCTCACGATACAACGTGAGGCCTCTCAGTCCGTCCTTTAAATTCAGCAAGGTGTGTCCTCAATCTCGCCAGTCAGTCAGAACTCAGTAGTGAGAACCGTATGACATTCGTCCTAAGCACCTCGACCCAGTAAAATTATTCACCGATTTTCTACTAAAGGCAACACAGTTCATCTGATGATTCGCTAAGAGCTACAGTGTTACAGTTCCAAATCAATCCGAAATAATGTATTTATGGAACAATGCTCTAACTTGTAACGTGTTTTTCGCTCTCGTTTTAATAACCCTCTCAAATCGAATAAAAAACTTGCTTGTGGTCTCAAATCAGAACTATATAACCTAGCCTGAAGAAATCAAAAGTCTTCTCATGTAAAGTTTTATTCGCTAAAGTAAACGATACTGATGGATGCGACTGATTCTATGGAGCAGAGTTGCGGTTAAAATTAAATATATACTTGATTGCTGGTGGAAAGAAATTAGAGGATTGTATGACCAACGATAGATCTACATGAACAAATATGTAAAAATATTACTCAAAAAGTTCAAATGCAGAAGAGGTGTATGTACAAGTCAGCTCCAATTTATCAAATTAGTGATATATGAATTTAATAATAGAATGGAATACCACTTTGGCGTTCTCATAAATTTAACACTTATGACTTCTCGTTAACGAAAGGCATCCAAAATATTTTCATATTGATTATATCATTAATTCGCTGTAATCACAAGCAAACCATAAATATAAAGGTGAAGAACATTCCATAATAAATTTCTTATATTTTCGAAGAAAAGTTTGGTAGACAACTCAATCATTAGTTCATGTATAATCAAGAGACCGACGAAACGTAAACGGAAGATATAGAAACTTACTAGCACAAGTAGCACATGGATAGCCAGATAAAAGGGCGAATAAACGTAAAAAGACCTGTCTATCTGAACAAGTTTTTACAGTCTCAAATTATAACTCAAGTGTAATAAAAACGACTATGTTCAAAAGAGTATTTTCAATGAGTTTCATAATAAATTTTTATAAACAAAACGAACCAAAAAGATAAAAAATGTAACTCAGTACTCTCTGCAGTGAGTGACACAGAGCGCATTTTCTCATCGACGAAAACACGAAGTCACGAACGGACAGACAGACGGACGGATATGGCAAGCACAATAGTGCATTTTTTCATAAATGAAAAAATGCGTTAAAAATTGTCAAGATTTAATATATTAAATAATGTAATTATGATATCGTGCATTTGAAAGTTGATATGGGTTCTTACGCTCTGCTGCACTGAATTTTTCGAAGTCAGCTGGACAGGATTATCAAAATACCGCAAAGTACACGTAGCGACTAACGTGTTTCGTAAGTGCAGCTAAGTGGACGTAACTTGAGACGGAAGGAATATGAAAACATATCCGCGCTTATGCTACGGCCAAGAAGTTGTGCTTATCTTTTTGCCTGCTTTGTGTTTGTGGTTATGCGAGTTACGCACAACTACTGAGTGGGTGAAATGTTTCAATTCATAGATTTAGTAACAACATGCGAATTTGAGAAGAATTCTGATGAATAATTTTACGAATAATATGTGATGGTGCTATAGGTGAACAAATTTCTATAATGTACGTTTGTCCTATGGATTCATTTGCCTCGCATGCGACTTGTAAATTTAAAGCGAATGTTATGCAGCATATGCTAGTACCTTACGATAGTTCACTTCGTTATCGTAAAATATCTCTAAACAATGTCAAATAAAAATTCTATATGACTTGAATAGCGTTTAGCCGACCATTGTTTCTAACTCCAAAGATTAAATTACTCTATGACTCCCATTGATTCACGCACGCGCCTAAACTTAAAAAGGTCTCTAGTT